GGCCCTGCTTGCAGGACCTCGGGGAGAACTATCCCCTGGACACTGCGTTGATGCTTTTCCACACCCAATTTCCCAAATCCAACAGTCTTGGCAAGAGCCCCTGGGCTCACCTGGGACTGGCGTCAGGCCCCGGGTAGACAGCTGGGCAGTGCTGCGTACCCCCATGAGGGACGCAGACCAAGAGGCTTACTAAGGCACTGGACGATTGGGTGGCTGTGGGATGACCAGCCTGATGATAGCCATGGGAGCCTGCAATGCTTCTGCATCACGCTCTGCTCCACGCTCCCATGGGGGATGAATCAACCCCAGTCATTCAGATAGGACGCCTGCCAAGGCTTACCCTTCTCTGCCCCTGGGGAGTTTTCACAGCTGGAGGAGCGGCAAGCCTTAAAGACAGGTCCTCACAGACACTGCAAAACTGCTGTGTGTACAGAAGAGGGGTCTATGACAGGAGAGAGCTCTGTAGAACTGGGGGTCACGAGGTCCTCTGCAGGCTGTGACAGGGTGGGGCAGGGTGGGGAACCATCTGTCCAGAATGATGGAAAGGAGTCTCAGTCTCTCTAATGTTTGCTCAGGCCACATGCTGGCTCTATGTACCACTTTTATTAGATTAAGATGTGGCTGAAGTCAGTTCTAAAAATAAGAAAAGGCAGAAGAGCATTTCCCAGTGTAATTCTGAAAACCTAGGGCGGTGGCTCTCCTAGTGTGACCCCCACCTGCAGTGCAGCAGCAAAGTCCCGGTTAGAAGTGCAGGCTCTCGGGCTCCACCCAGACTGACTCAAGCTTGAGCCCTTTGGGGGTGGGGTCCTGTGGTCTGTTTTAATAAGTCCTCTGGGTGATTCTAATGCACATTCAAATTGGAGAGCTGCTAGTCAGGGGGTGGAGCCACCATCATGGGGGTTTGGACAGCTGGCTCTGACAGTGGATAGGTAGGAGGTACAGGTGCAGGTCACCATCACAGCGTAGCCCGGTGTCCCCTCTCACTGCACCATTGGTAGGATGCTCTGGTTGGATCCCATGAAGCCGGAGGAAGAAGCACTAAGCACTGACTTCCAGATCCAAATCCCAGGCCCCCCTTCCACTGAGTAGTATGTTTCCTTAAGGTGCTGTGTCATATGACTTACCCACCACACCTGTCGGACTGCAGCCTCCTGGACACTCTCAGACCTGCCTGCCCCCTCTGTCGTCACCCAGGAGTCTGTGTGATTATCAAGGCTCCAGGTGATTTTTAGGATCCATCTGTTTGGAAGTCACAGATCCAAGGGAATGTCTGGAAGGTGAATTCTAAACGGCTGTGCTGAGTTTTAAGCCATCGTATCTGTGAGACTGAGGAATAACTTGGATTTTTTTCTTCCTGGAATGAAAAGTGAATATACTTTTCAGATTTCTTCTTTTTCATCTCCAAGCATATAACCATCTTTATCCATTCAAAATATTTCCAAAATGTGCAGCTGAACATCTTTCTGTCACCTTACATAAAGAAATGAAAATTTTGAGAAATGTGGAAGCTTTTTTCCCCATGAATTTTTTTCATGGGGAATTGTAAAACTCTCAGGATGAGTGCTTCTCACACCTCCTGTGCGTAGGAATCATCTGGGAATGGCGCAGATTCTGATGCTGTGCGTCTTGGAAGCAGGGATGCTGAGAGTCAGCCCTGATAACAAGCTTCCCCCTCCCCAGGCCCCTGTGACTGCGCCAAGAACCTCACCATAAGTAGCAAGGATTTGGAACTGTCCTAAGGCTCAGGGCCAAGTCGATTGTGTTCATCACTTGTATCAAGTGCCTAGAACAGTGCCTGGTACTGGGGAGGTGGGCAATTTTATTAGCCCGTTCTCATGCTGCTAATAAAGACATACCTGAGATGCTCAATTTATAAAGGAAAGAGGTTTGATTGACTCACAGTTCCGCAGGACTGGAGAGGTCTCAGGAAACTTACAATCATGGTGGAATGGGAAGCAAACATGTCCTTCTTCACATGACGGCAGCAAGGAGAAGTGCTGAGGAAAGGGGGAAAAGCCCCTTACAAAACCATCAGATCTTGTGAGAATTCACTCACTCACTATCACTAGAATAGCATGGGGGTAATCGCCCCCATGATTCAGTTATCACCCACCTGGTCACATGGGGATTATGGGATTATGACACTTAGGGATTACAGAAACTATAGTTCAAGATGTGATTTGGGAGGGGACACAGCCAAACCATATCAGTGATTAAAATCTGCTGAATAAGTGAATCAGTGACAAAAATGAATCAAACCACATATTAATTATTTTGGAACTGTTTAAATGATACAAAAAAAACCCCAAAAACAATGGTGAGGTCTCTTGATTTCTAATTGAGGCATATCTTAAGCAAGAATGGAATTCTGCCTGAGTTGCTTATCGTAAAATAAATCTAACCCAAGAAACAAAAGATGTTGTAGACACTGATGGAAGCGGATGTGACCAATGAGTTCCTGGGACCTGCTTTCTCAGCAGAGTGACCACAGTCCCAAGGTTCTCGGTGTGCTGCGTGAGCTCAGAGGGTGTCTGGAATGCAGACAGCGGAGAAAAAAGGCAGAAATGTGGTTCTGCAGAATGTTCAGAAAGATGTAATATGTGATGGGCAGCATCTGGCTCTATCCTTGTGACCCTGATAATTCTGAAATCAAACATGAATCTCCCCACATTATTTTTTCTAGTTTCTATAGTCATATATTGTTGACAACTTTTGCTAAAATTGGGTTTGAAGCAAAGGGAGTAAGCCTCCCAGATATGTTCCAGACACATGCTGAGGGGCTCAACCATTCTTCAACCAAAGAGGAAAAAAAAACCAGACAGACAGTTTCAGCTTCTGACTTTCAGGGCCATTCGTGTCTCCAACTTTTCTCCTCTCAATGGGCAGATAAAGATGTTTGACTGCTCCATCACTGAATCCCGTCCCCAGCGATTTAAGTCACTTTGCAAAGCTCTGATTGCAGGAGGTCCCAGAAAGGTTCAGTCCCTGGTTTTTCACTGGCAGGCTGGTTTGGGCTGTGGAGAACCAGCCCCAGGCCCGATGCCTTCACTTGCTGGAATGGTCTTTGACATACTCTCTTGTAGGTTTGGGGCGCAAAGAGAGTCATGCGTGTCCCCAGTTTTTCACAGTATGATCCTTGCATTTTAAAGGAACAGTTTTGTTGTTTTGTTTGCCCACCATGCACCAGGACTTCCAAAATGTTATCTGACCCAGTCTTCTTGCAGGCGATCCTTTAATTGCTTACATTTTCAACATATTCCAACCCTAGCCTTGTCTGAGCACAATTTACATGATTTAGTCTAGACAGTGGGTAGTTTTATTTTTCAAATGACTCAATCACAGATTCCAGTGTCTCTGTCTCTTTAGTTGTCTATCCCCTGATTTCTTTGCAGTGGTTGATCTCAGATGGGTCCCACTTGTGTTCTGTGGTGTGTGCATTAGGCCGGTTCATGAAAGATAATCTAACCGAGCCCACTCTCTTCCTTCCCTCTCTCTCCCTGTGCTGTTGATACTCCAAGTATTGGGGAGGCTTCAATAGGATGCCAACACCTTAGCAAAATGAGCCCCAGCAGCTGCCAGTGCCTACCCTCATGCATGGTGGGCCTGGGAATGTGGGTGATGGTGCCACTGTAAAGATTGACTTGTCAAGCTTCTCCCCATCGGACCACCAGAAAGGATGGCTTGGCAAGGGCATTCCCTGAAGGGCACTACTTCTTTCATGCTAGGCTCAGAGAACAAGCCTGCTATCCTCAGATATGCACAAGTTTCCTTGTGGCCACACAACCATCATTGACACACTCAAAAAATACTCTAGACTTCCGGGCACTTCTCCTTCTATCCATACCTGAGATTAATTTTGGCCAGCCACTCCCAGTTGTAGAGAGAGAGATCACCTTGAATGATCTGGGTGGAGGGGGCGGTGCTTTCAAGTGGAGAGACAAGAGGAAATGAGGGGTTACCCCAACCAGCAGTGACAAGGGCTGGCCCTGGAGACAAGAGTTAGGGAAGAACCCAGCCCAGGTAAGTAAGTACCTTTGCGCCAGGTCCCAGATGGTAACATCAGCAACTGTGTTCTCTGAAATACCATAAATAGAAACCAAGATGTTAAGTCTTTTCATGTTTTTCAATCAGAAGGATAACTTGTACGTAACTTTATTGGCAGAGGGATCTAAGTTTGTCCTTCCTTGCTGCCTGTAATTTGAAGAGATAATAATAATCCGTGAATATCAGCTTTTTTAATCAGTATGCTTATTTATTTATTTATTTATTGAGTTAGAGTTTTGCTCTTATTGCCCAGGCTGAAGTGCTGTGGCATGATCTCAGCTCACTGCAACCTCCGCCTCCCAGGTTCAGGCAATTTTCATGCCTCAGCCTCCCAAGAAGTTGGGATTACAGGTGCCCACCATCACACCCAGCTAAATTTTTTGTATTTTTAATACAGACAGGGTTTCACTATGTTGCCCAGGATGATCTCAAACTCCTGACCTCAAGGTGATCCATCTGCCTCAACCTCCCAAAGTGCTGGGATTACAGGCATGAGCCACCGCACCCGTCAGTATACTTACTTTTTAAAAAAGTGAACTCAGCCCCGACAAAGCCCAAGCCCGGGAACCCTCTGTTGAGACCGTATCATCCAACTCTAGCAGTTCAAATCCCAGCCTGCGCAAGTCCTGTCACTGGCCAAGGCTGTCTTCTATCTGAACAACAGGAAGGGTTCCAGGAGCTATGTCAGCTGGTTGGTTTAGAATGCTTTGCTTGAGGCCTGGCTGAGCGCATGCCTGGTGCTTGCTTCTGGAAAAGGTGAGCAGGGATGGGGCTCGCTCGCGCACATCCTGGCCAACCATAACTCCACCTGCCTCTACGAGGCTCTCTTCCCCATTGAAGTCACTCTTCCCTCACTGGCCTGCAGCAGCGGGCCTCTTAGAAACGTGGGCACTCCGAGGTTAACCAGGTGCCTGAGAGCCTGGGGCCATGGTGACATGTGTGTGTTGCTCTCGCAGTGCACAGCCAGCTGTGGGGGTGGCGTTCAGACGAGGTCCGTGCAGTGCCTGGTGGGGGGCCGGCCGGCCTCAGGCTGCCTCCTGCACCAGAAGCCTTTGGCCTCCCTGGCCTGCAACACTCACTTCTGCCCCATTGCAGAGAAGAAAGGTGAGTGCCTGGGGCCCCTCAGCATGGCCTGGGCATGGGGCTGGAATGTCAGGTGTCTGGAGCAGTTCCTTGGAGGGCCTGGAGTTAGGGTCTTACGTCTGACCTACCTTTTCTGTCTTTGCATCTTCTCCAGTTCTACAATGAAATGGTCCATAGAGCTGACCCTGCTGCCTCTCATGACACCCCAGGACAACATAGATTGTCATGACATAAGCATGACTTCTTTCCTATATCAATGTTGTTCACTGTATTTAAAGAATCAATCTTAACTAAAGCAGCTTCTCTCCCTAGGTTAAACAAAAGCCTCCCTTATTAACTGGGTGCCCTCTAAATGCCATCCCTGTGCACACAGAAATTCCAGCATAGCACACGTTTACCTATGCATTGCAGAGACAGATGGCCAGGCGCCCATTAAGGCTATTCTGAGAGATAATGTGGCTCGAGGAAGGCAAGTGGTTTGGCTCAACCAGAGGATTGGAGAATTGAAATTCAGTCAACAGAGACTCCAATGGGTAGATGCATGGTTGAGTGAGTGGGTTCAGCACAAGAAGAAAATTTCAGTTTTGCAGGAAGCTTCCAAGAAGGGTCTTGTGAAAATAATGTGTTCCACAGGACCCGCATCAGACCTGGGGGCTGCCTTTGTGCAGCAGCCGCGGAGTGTGACAAATGCGCTTTTATTTGCCAAACAGAGCTATTAGCTGGCAACATCAGCCACTGCGCTTGGGATCACTGAGTAATGCAGCTCTGCTCATTTTCAGATGCCTTCTGCAAAGACTACTTCCGCTGGTGCTACCTGGTACCCCCGCACGGGATGTGCAGCCACAAGTTCTACGGCAAGCAGTGCTGCAAGACCTGCTCCAAGTCCAACCTGTGAGTCAGGACAGCTTTCCATGGCAGAGAAAGTGGCTGTGTGGCAGGGAAATTTCCCACAAATGAGCTGTACAATCTATGTCGGAATACATCCAAGGAAGATCAAAGCCAAAAGAAGAAAACCGTGTTAGGCTCTTTGACCAGGAGTGTATGTATGCACGTTTCACCTTGAGCCTGCGTGCAGACCTGTGTCCCCACACACACAGCCTCTCCTGTTAGGCTGAAATGTGGCACCCTGGCAGGCACAGCTGTGGCTCATGAGGCAGAAGGCAGGCTCCACAATGGGAGAGGCAGCTCTCACCCCTGCCTGTACTGCAGCTAAATCAAGTCAAAAAGACAGGCGGGGCTGAACTTGCTTAATGTCTGGTGCCTTATAAAAAGAAGGAAAGGCCACAAAATAAGGAAAACATACAAAATATCTGCCCCCAAGTTCACCAGCCTCCCCTCCCACTGGGGAGGCCCCTCAAGCCATCAGGAGTGACCAACTTCCTGAGTGGAGGTCAGGGGAGCTCCAGGAGGCTGCCCAGGCTCCTCCTCTTCCTCCTCCCCAGCTGCTGAGCATCTCTTACTAGGAACCTGGAGCCACCGCCGGAGCCAGCGTCATCTCTAGGGCCAGGGGACTGCATTCTGATTTGGGACTTTGCCTATGGAAATGGGAAAAATGAAATTCCTGCTAAGGTGCTTCCATCTCTTTCAGATTCGTGCCTTGAAGGAGAGATTTTTATATTTTATGTTTTATCTTTCTCAGTTATTTGCAAGCGAGTGTCCTTTTAAAACCCCATTTCTTCATGCTTTTCTTTGTAAATGAAAGATCGGAAGTATAGGTTACATCAAAACCCTACCATCCTGAGAAGGGTTATGGTTCTGCTGTAGCAGAGGTCAGCCACACAGCCCATGTGACAATAACCTTAGAGTCCTGTGTTTTGTTTTTGTGTGTTGTGAGATTTTAATCTGTTTTTTTCTTTTTTCTTTTTTTTTTTTTTTTTTGGTGAGTCTGGCCATTTCTACAATGCCAGGTGGGAAGCCAGGCCACAGGTGTTTGGGTGGGAATCTGCCCGGCGTCTCCGGCACACCCCGCCGCCATCCTCAGTGCCGCTGCTGTTCTCCTGTCCGGCGCTGTGGCTCCATTCGGAAGGGGCACCTGGATATTTATATTTGCTGAAGCTTTATAATAAAGTTTATATTGTACAGTGTGCTTCTGAACTACCTCATGATTCTTCACAAGGTTAGTTTCTGAAATCAAAGGATGGAACAAACATACTGGGAGACGGGTCTCAAAGCGGAGGAAATGGGGCTCTAGACTGTAGGAGAAAACTAGAAATAGCCTAGAAGAAAGTGCCCCTGAGTAAAGGGGAGGTTGCAGGGGAGATGGTGGCGGCTGGTGATGGTGGCTTCCTGCTGCATTTAATTAAAAGGAGGTGGGACCTCCCCGTGCCACCTCAACTCCTATTAGGCTTCTTCAGAGAAGCAGAATGAGTAGGACATCAGGAGGGTTGGTGGGGCGGGGGATGTAGGGGAAATTATTTTCAGAAATTGGCTCTCAGGATTGTGGAGGCTGGCAGTTTGGGAATTTGGAGGGCAGGCCGGCGGGCTGGAGATATGGTAAAAGTTGATGTCACGGCCTCTAGTTTGAATTCCACAGGACATCTGCCTGGCGCCCCAAGCAGAGTGTCTTTTCTTTCTTTTTCTTTTCTTTTTTCCAACTTTTTTTAAGTTTGAAATTGTGCAGGATGTACACACTTGTTACATAGGTAAACGTGTGCTATGCTGGTTTGCTGCACAGATCATCCCATCACCTAGGTTTTAAGCCCAGCATCCATTAGCTGTTCTTCCTGATGCTCTCCCCTACCCCAATCCCCCACCCTCCGACAGGACCCAGTGTGTGTTGTCCCCACCCCACCTCATGTCCATATGTTCTCATCATTCAACTCCCACTTACAAGTGAGGAAATGTAGTATTTGGTTTTATGTTCCTGCATTAGTCTGCTAAGCATAATGGCTTTCAGCTCCATCCATGTCCCTACAGTGGACATGATCTTGTTCCTTTTTATGACTGTATAGTGTTCCATGGTGTATATATATCACATTTTCTTTATCCAATCTATCACTAATGGGCATTTGAGTTAATCATGTCTTTGATATTGTGAATAGTGATGCAATGAATATACACGTGCATGTGTCTTTATAACGGAACAATTTCTACTCCTTTGGGTATATACCCGGTAATGGCATTTCTGGGTCAAATGATGTTTCTGTCTCTAGGTCTTTGAAGAGCCACCACACTGTCTTCCACAACGGTTGAACTCATTTACACTCCCACCAACAGTGTAAAAGCGTTTCTTCTTCTCCACAACCTTGCCAGCATCTGTTGTTTTTTGACGTGTTAATAATAGCTATTCTGACCGGTGTGAGATGGTATCTTACTGTGGTTTTAATTTGAATTTCTCTAATGATCAGTGATGTTGAGCTTTTTTTCATTTACTTTTTGGCCTCATGTATGTCTTCTTTTGAGAAGTGTCCAGTCATGTGATTTGCCCACTTTTTAATGAGGTTCTTTGTTTTGTGTGTGTGTGTGTGAATTTGTTCCTTGTAGATGCTGGATATTAGACCTTTGTCAGATGCATATATTGCAAAAATTGTCTCCCATTCTTAGGTTGTCTGTTCACTCTGATAATAGTTTCTTTTGCTGTGTAAAAGCTCTTTAGTTTAATCAGATTCCATTTGTCAATTTTTGGCTTTTGTTACAATTGCCCGTGCCTATGTCCTGAATGGTATTGCCTAGATTTTCTTCTAGGGTTTTTATAGCTTAGGGTGTTACATTTAAGTCTTTAATCCATTTTAGTTGATTTTTGTATACAGTGTAAGGAAGGGGTCCCGTTTCAATTTTCTGCATAAGGCTAGCCAGTTCTCTCAACACAATTCATTAAATAGGGACTCCTTTCTTCATTGCTTGTTTTTGTCAGATTTATCAAAGATCAGGCAATTGTAGGTTTGTTATCTTATTTCTGCATTCTTTATTTAGTTCCATTTGTCTGTGTGTCTGTCCCTGTGCCAGTACCATGCTGGTACTGCAGCCTTGTAGTATAGTTTGAAGTCAGCTAGTATAATGTCTCCAGCTTTGTTATTTTTGCTTGTGATTGTCTTGGCTATTTCGGTTCTTTTCAGGTTCTATATGAATTTTAAAATAGATTTTTTTCTAATTCTGTGAAAAATGTCAGTGGTAGTTTAATGGGAATAGCATTGAATCTATAAATTGCTTTGGGTGGTATGGCCATTTTCGTGATATTGATTGTTCCTATCCATGAGCATGGAATGGTTTGTTTGTGTCATCTCAGATTTCTTTGAGCAGTGGTTTGTAGTTCTCCTTCAAGAGGTCCTTCACTTCCCTTGTTAGCTATATTACTAGGTATTTTATTCTTTTTGTAGCAGTTGTGAGTGGGAGTTCATTCATGATTTGGCTCTCAGCTTGCCTTTTGGTGTATAGGAATGCTGGCAATTTTTGCACATTGATTTTGTATCCTGAGACTATGCTGAAGTTGCTTATCAGCTTAAGAAGTTTTGGGCTGAGACAATGGGATTTTCTAGATGTAGGATCATGTCATCTGCAAATACAGATAGGTTGACTTCCTCTCTTCCTATTTGAATATCCCCTTTATTTCTTTCTCTTGCCTGATTTTCCTGGCCAGAACTTCAATACTATGTGTAAGAGGAGTGGTGAGAGAGGGCATCCTTTTGTTGTGGCAGTTTTCAAGGGCAATGCTTCTGGCTTTTGCCCATTCAGTGTGATATTGGCTGTGGGTTTGTCATATATGGCTCTTATTATTTTGTGGTATGTTCCTTCAAAACCTAGCTTATTGAGAGTTTTTAACATGAAGGGGTGTTGAATTTTATTAAAGGTCTTTTCTGCATCTATTAAGATAAATCATGTGTTTTTTGTCTTTAGTCTGTTTATGTGATGAATCACATTTATTGATTTGCATATGTTGAATCAAACTTGCATCGCAGGGATGAGGCCCACTTGATCATGGTGGATAAGTTTCTTGATGTGTGCTGGATTCAGTTTGCCAGTATTTTATTGAGGATTTTTGCATCGGCGTTCATCAAAGATATAGGTCTGAAGTTTTCTTTTTTTGTTGTATCTCTGCAAGGTTTTGGTATCAGGATGATGCTGGCCTCATAATACGATTTAGAAAGGAGTCCCTCCTTTTCAGTTGTTTGGAATAGTTTCAGCAGAAATGGTACCAGCTCTTCTTTGTGTCTCTGGTAGAATTCATCCATGAATCCGTCTAGTACAGGGCTCTTTTTGGTTGGGAAGCTATTTATTGTTGCCAGGCAGGGCTTCTATGTTGCGTCTGTGAAGTGCTTAACGTCTCAATCAATTGACTGTAAGCAGAGTACCCTCCGTAATATGGGTGGGCCTCATCCAGTCAGATGAAGGTTTTAAGAGCAAAGACTGAGATTTCCCTGAGAAGCAGCAATTCTGCCTCAAGACTGCACAGCCACATTGCCACATAAAATTCACCATTATGCCCCTTTCCCTGGGGTTGGATTTAACCTGCAGTAACTGGGACCCAGTGAGAAGCCACTACCACTGGTGTGACAGAGGCAGACACCTACTCTCAGGATGTCAGCCACTGGAATGGATGGCTGGTCCTACACGTGCTCCAGCTGCCTGGTCTGTGCATAACACCAGCTATTGACGTGCCACAGCAGGCTCTGCACCACCTCTTCCAACGCACAGACCCACTCATGGGAGGAGATATTCCCAGTCCCATTTTACAGAGCAGAAATTCTGACAGAAAATTTATATAGCTTTTTCTGGAGTTGCCAGAGAGAAAGGGGGATTCTGCAGAATTCTACAGGATTCTGGGGAGCTGGGGGCAGCTTATTCCAAAACCCAGAGCCGTCGGGTACCACAGTCTTACTGATTCACCCAGGCACTGGAGCTGTCCTCCAGACCTCTGTCCTTCAAACAGAGGCTTTTCAGTAATCCTTTCATCATATCGTCAGTAGCCCTTCATGGGACACCTGCTGACCTTATCCCATGATGGAGGCAAAAATGGCCGAGATGTGGGCCTGCCTTCAAGGGCTTTATGTTCCAGCAGTGAAATAATGTATAGCCACAAATGGATGTACTATGAGGTTGACCATGACCACAGGATGGGGCTAGGATGAGGGGGTGGATTTGCTTCTGTTAAGGAGGGAAATGGTAGACCAGAGACCTGTGCTCTTCAACCTGGGCTCTTACAGTGAAACGAGAGCCTGGGCAAGAGGGGCAGATGGAAGAAGCACCTGTGACCTTCCCAGGATCCACCCATGATTTGTCTGTGACTTGCCTGTGACCTGCCCGTGGTCTGCCTGTGACCTGCCCAGGCTCTGCCTATGACTGGCCTGTGACCTGCCCATGATCTGCCCATCAGTTGCCTATGACCAGCCTGTGTTCTGTTCATGACCATGCACTTGAGACAGATGCCGGCTGGAGAAGGGTGGCGTGGCAGGTGAGGGGTTGCCTAGGACCCGGCTTGTTGGGCCTGCAAGACTCATCGTCCTGGCACCTGGTTAGCATCCCTCACCCAGGCCATCTCTGTGTCCCAATCGGCCGCTCCAACTGGCCTGACACACCCCCACAAGGGGCTCGAGAGAGGCTGGCTTAGATCATGTCAGCACTGGCCAAAGCCTTCATCTGCTTCTATGGCCAACATCACAACATCCAACTTGCGTGGGCTGCATTTGCCTTAGGCTATATTTAGCACTGGCTGTGTGCCAAGCCCTAAGATGAGTACTTCTTGTGCAAAGCCCCACTTGACCCTCCCTTGGGGGAGGCGCCATCAATGGGCCTGTCCACGGCAAGAGGAAGAGGGAGCAGCACACCGATGCCTGGTGACTCTCCCAGGCCATGGAGCCAGTAAATGGCACAGCTGGGTGCTAAACCTCACACCTCACCCTGTGTCCCTCACCTCCTATTCCTCTCTCGACTTGGTCTGTCTTTTGTGGACGCACAGTGCCCATGTCATCTCAGCCTCTGTGGCTTTGCCGGGCCATGTCCGTCATCTCTTCCACAGTGCAGCCCCTCCCTGTACACCACCATCTTCCTGCCCACACCTCTCGGCTTCCTGATGTTCCAAGAGCTCCTCAGAGGCAGGTGCCTGGCCTTGCCCACCGAGCACTCTGGAAACTTCTGGCCAGCCGAGAATCT